GACGGCGGGGCCCGGGGGGAGCCGGGGGAGCACTCCGGGACGACTTTTGGTGTCGCTGCCCCTCCCTGGGGAGTGCCATTAGTGCAGAAGTTCCCGGGCACCCCCGATTCAGACCTTGGCAGCAGGACTTGTTCCTCCTTGCTCAAACCTCCTCTGCTCTTACGGTGCTGACCTCGCAGATTTCCTAACCCTGCCCTCATCTCTAGGGAGAAAGATCTCGATGAGGTCTTGCAGACGCACACAGTGTTTGTCAATGTTTCCAAAGGCCAGGTGGCGAAGAAGGAAGATCTCATTCAAGCATTTGGGACGGACGACCAAACAGAAATCTGTAAGATGGTAGGTTTCAACCACTTTGCTTTCTAAAAGCTTGGAGAAGACTTTCCAAATGTTTTGCATAAGGGTCACAGAGACACAGTGGATTGGTTTGTTACCAGGTTTTCACAGAACACAGTGCTGCTGTAGGCGAAAGGGTTGTTTGTTAAGAAATGGGGAGAAAGGAGTGGTAACCCTCATGTAGTCTTAAATTTTATATACGCATCTGGCAGAAAAGAGTTCTAGGTGTTCTGTATAACATACAGCTTCTATGCACTGCTGTCTAGGGACACGGAAGAAAGGTTAACCAGCACTGACGAGTTTCTCACTTAAGGTATATTATTAAGGATGCAGAGAAAGGAAGGGGGCAGTTGCTTACTTTGGATAGTTTGATTAAGTGTTAAGAACAGCTCTAATTGCTTAAGTCCTTCTTGGTAGGCTATAAACAGTGGACCTGTTGTGGGTGATGAGAATTCAAGGAAATCTGCGCTGCTCTTTTTGTAGTTTAGGGTTTCAGTGATGCCTTTTTTCTCTGAAATCTTTCCAGTGTTGTCTGGCACAATGATGAACATTATTAGTATGGTTATCCTTTTTCTGTGCTTCACGTCTGACCAAACCACTCAAGCAATTGTTTAATTAAACACAGTTGCTAGGGTTTCCACTCTTCGGTCAAATCTGTGATATTTAAACTGTCTTTTTGTTGTTATTTACTATCCAGATTTTATCAAAAGGGGAGCTGCAGGTATCGGACAAAGAACGGCACACACAGCTGGAGCAGATGTTTAGAGACATCGCAACTATTGTGGCTGACAAATGCGTGAATCCTGAAACAAAGAGGCCATACACAGTAATCCTTATAGAAAGAGCCATGAAGGATATTCACTACTCCGTCAAGCCGCACAAGAGCACGAAGCAGCAGGTTAGCGTTCACGCAAAATTGGGTTCTGCTCAGAGGTGCTGTCTCCAAGCGTAATTTCTCTGTTAGCAGTCACAGAGGGTTCACCAAAGCCTCATGCTCTAAAGCCTGCAGCCAGCTGGCGGTTGAATGCTGGATACAAGGAGCCTCTGAAACTCTGCAGTTTGTTTTCTAACAACTCAGGGAAAGGAGAAAGAAAGAAGCTAATTAAAGCAGCAACAGTGATATGCCTGGAATAGAAATAAGTGTTTTATAGTTTATTTTAATTGAGGTGGTAAATCAGGCTTTGCACCTGAGCCACAGGGGTTTCTGTTGTTCTACGGTATAACTGCTGTACAACATTATTTCAGGCAGGTTTTTTTTAGTATTTGAAGTGATCAGAGACAGCAAGAACTCTGCCTTTTCTTGTTAATCTATCAAAACAGCGTAATAGCAAACTCCTTGCAGCAGAGTGGCGGTGATCAGTACTGAGAAATGTGTCTGAGGCCAATGCAGAGGATTTGAGATGTTGATCTGCGGGTGTGTAAATGCTCTTTCTTTTTAATGTTTTTACAGGCACTGGAAGTGATCAGGCAGTTAAAGGAGACCATGCAAATTGAACGTGCTCACATGAGGCTGCGATTTATTCTTCCAGCAAAGGAGGGGAAGAAACTGAAAGAGAAGCTCAAGCCACTGATTAAAGTTATTGAGAATGAAGACTTCCATGAACAGCTGGAAATTGTAAGCAAGAAAGTAGTCCTTGAGTTTCGTACTTGATTTGACTACACCATACGTTTTACTAGAAGATAAATTAATATATGGAAGTTGTTTAGATAAACTGCAAGTTTACCAGAGGTTCTAAGTCAGAGGTGTAGTCTGTAGATTTTAATTTCACCAAATCCTAGTGACAAAAGCTTGGAAGTAGCCTTGATTCTACAGAGATTGCTGCTTCAAGCTGAGGAGCAGCACAGTGTCATTTCTCATAGCAGTGATTATCCTACAACACTGATAAGTTTCTCTACATATGTTACTCTTACTTATTTGGTGGGTCAGGCCTGTATTTTGACAGTGGTTAATTAATTTTCTTTAAAAATAGTCTGTGGTAAAGCAAAGTCTGGTGTTGGTGAAAGTCTTTCTGAGAACAGATTAGAATCTAGCAATCCCAGCTATCACAAGACATGTCCAGCGTGGGCAAATGGAATAGCAGAACTTCTGTGGAAAGATTGCATGATAGAAATTGCTTCTCAACTCTGCCAAGTCCTTCTTAGTTACTAAACAATTTTTTTTTTAATGAAAATTGATGTTAGACCCTGAAAAGGGGCTGATGAAAATCAGATATTATTGCTTGACTGATGAAATGTGAAATATTTCAGGTGTGCCTTATTGACCCAGGCTGCTTCAGAGAGATTGATGAGCTGATCCGGAGTGAGACAAAAGGGAAAGGAACACTGGAAGTGCTCAGTCTGAAGGACGTGGAGGAGGGAGATGAAAAGCTTGAATAACGAAACCGTCTGGAAGCAGCATCCTGCAACATGACTGGCGTTAGCCACTCTCGTCTGTTAGGCCTTCATGTTTTTTCCTATCTCTTGCTGCCAAATACTTCCTGACACTAATCCTTTGGGATTTTTCCATGCAGTGTGGGGGGTTTTTTTATCATTTTACACTTGCTTGGTTTACAAATGGGTTTGCCTGTAGGAACATTTTGTGTCCGAGTTGCACTAATGAGGATTGAGTTAAGGCTTGGTGTGGAAGTGACTCTGGCTTTGGTTTACTTTGAGAGTTGCTGTTGAAGAGTGGTTGACTGATACAGCGCCAATCATTTTTACTTTAAGTCGCTGAGGGGCAGGGTTTGTATCTGAGGAGAGGAACCTTAAGAAAAGGGAGCTGCATTTTCACTTCTAAACAGGTGCAAAGTGTGGATCGTGTCTAAACCCATCACTTGGCAGCACGAAAACTGACTTAAATTTCCATAATTGGCTGCTTGATAATTAGAGTACTTTAAAGGACCATTCTCAAAGATTTCCTTCACTGGATGTAGCAGCACTTGCTGACTTAGAAGAAATATTCTCCAAATAACTTATTCGTAAAATATATTTAGCTACATTAATAAAAATGAATTACTGTCTATTTATATATTATAGATACAGAAAGAAATAAAATAATTATTTTTCTTAATAGTATAGGAGGTAGCTCTGGCAGTGGTGATGCTTTTTGTAGGCTGAGGATTAGCCTGCGTTTCTGAGCTGTTCTTGTTTGCCTGATAAAGCAAATCTCGAATGGGCAGTGGTGGCCTCTGGCTAAGGAGCTAGGCAGGCTTTTGTTGGGCCATAATTCCCTAGCAGGAACTGTCTGCGTGTGCTCCTTTTCTTCCAGTGCGATAGCAAACAATTCTGGCAGCTGTCCTTTATCCTCTGGCTTTCTCTGCTGCTTTCTAATACATGCACAGAATTTCCAGCCAGCTCCTGAGGCCCAGTATATAGTTCTTGATAATTCTGTTAAATCTTGCTTCAGCTGCGTTAAGCAAATGCTTTTAGGTTGAACTTGTGTATTGCAAAGAAGAGGGGAAGAGACGACAGCAACGGCAGGAGATACTAAAAATACAAACCAGCAGGCAAAGTATATGTCCTTGGGTGACTAAAAGCTAATCCAGCAGGAGTTCAAGGAGCCTTGAGTGTGGCATGCCTGTTCCCGCACCGATCAAACGCAGCGAGTTGGGAGCTGCAGGCTTGCCGCCGACTGGATCTCTCCCAGACGAGCGTGTGTTGTGTTCCTTGCTTGCTGTTGACTTCTAGAGTGTGCGACTCTGCCTGTTACACGACAGTTAAACAGAGCTCTGGTTTGTGCTCCTCATGTGACCATTAGCTCTGTACCATTAGCACGTTGTGGATTTTCTAGGATTCAAGCAGGGAGAGTTGAAGTCGACTGGAGGAGGAAAGGTTTGACATGTCAGGTGCCAAGAGCCTGCAGGACTAGGTCCTTAGGCAAAGGCTTCTTCTTGGAAGCTGATTTCTGCAGCAGTCTATAGATGTGAGCTTGTGCGAGGTTGGGTTAAATCTCTTTACTGATATTTTGGAAGGACTTGCCGCTCTAGGGTCTGAGTTTTGCTGAGGGCCAGTGAAACGGAGACCCTGGAACCATTTTATCCATTTTGAAATGCTTTCTCTTGCCCCCAGGGTAAACTTCCATGGTGTTTAAATGCTGCCTAGGAAAGTTTAGTGGCATAATTACTGCATTTGCCATGCGGACACAGACTAAATCAAGGCCTCTACAGGCATGGACAGATTGGCAAGATTCCTTGTGTGTACAAACCCTTAACTGCTTGTTTTTCAAATGGCTGCCTCTTCGTGCGTACTTCATGAAGCACTGAAGATGACGGTGTTGATATTTAGCTTGTCACTGGCAATTAGCGCTAACACGCAACTCATAAAGCTGCAAACGAGACACTGAGTAAGAGCCTCAGATGACTTTGTACCGGTAATACTTGATTCCACAATCCTGTAACTTCTTTGTTTTCTATGTTCAACACCTGAAGCACAAGAGGATGGCTGCAGGTTAACAATCCCGAGTTACGGAAACTTAACCTGAGCTTGATTTACAAGCTGGGCAATAGGAAGGCCATTTCCTTACAAAGTCTTTTTTTCTGCAAATCAAATATTAAGGAATTTTCTCTGGTAGAGGGAGCTTGATTTTATTTATCAACAAATAAATGTACATTCTTGCGTTTCTTGTCGTATTTGTAGTTCAGCAAGGAAGTATGGTAAGCATCAAAATAAATATCAGTATTGGTAGCTGGTTTGTTCTTGCCCATTTCAAGGGGAGCACAACCTTTTCCTGGCTAATTAACTGAAATTTCCAAAGTAATAAACTCCTCTCGCCACTTGAAATAAGCTGGCAGCTTCCCAGCGAGCACTGGTAGGGTGCTTGGGTGTACGTGTACGCGTATTTTCCCTGACATTGTCCTTGCCCTGTTTCTGGCAGGGCTTGGAGGGCTCAGCCGGCTGGGCCGGTTACAACTGCCGTAGCCACGGTGATGGGAAACAGAGCTGGGATCCCCACTGCCCACCCTGCCTTCGACAGCCTTAGAGAGCTCAGTAATTGCTTGTTAATTAATCTGTTGCCTGCAGCAGCAGAGAGGAAAGAGCTGTCGGTGGTGATGGCCTAGCGGGTGGCGATGGCCGAGCAGGAGGGGTGCGGCGTGCAGCAGTTGGAGGCACCACGGTGAGGGTTGGTGAGGGTTCCACGGGCACGAGCAGCTCGGCTCCATCTGTGGTCACAGCACGGCAACAACTCCACCGGGCAGCAGAGCTGCCATGGCCACCGCACGTGCAGCGGGGCTGGAGGGCCATGGCAGGGCCACCGGGGCCGTGCAGGAACGGAAGGTGAACCTCAGCCAGCGCGTCCAGGAGCTGCACACCATCATCGCCTTGCAAGGTGCTGCCCCTTTGGCCTTACAGGGGCAGGCAGGGGGGGCTCTTGGTCCCCCCCCGTCATCCTGCCTGGTACCAACAGTGCCTTGATGTCCTCCAGAGCAAGGGAGGAAGTTATTCACACAGTCGTGTGAGGAAAAGCTCAGTCAGAACAGGGAGCTGCTCCCCCGCCTGCGCGAGGCAGTGCAGGAGGATGTCCAAGCCCTGGGCATTGTCCAGAAGGTACGGCTGGTCCCCTCCGCCACACCCCAGCCTGCTGCTGGCCCTGCAGAGCCCAGCTCCTCCGCCGGTTCTGCCCAGGAGCCTGCAGCGCCAGGCAGCAACAGGTTGTGACCGTCCCCAGGCTGGCAGTGATGTTCTCTCTGTCCCTTTCCTGCCCCCAGTGCAACAAGCTCACCGTCTCCGAGGCTTGTGGAGCACAGAAGCACTTGAGCATCGCTTTGGCCAGGAAGACAGTGGAGGTAACGGCAGGGTCCGGTGGGCACGGGCTGTTCATGGGGGGCTGGGGCTCCGGGGACGCTCAGAACAGGGTGCATAGCAGAGGGACCTGGTGCTGGCACAGGGACAGCCCCACAGGGCTGGTGCAGCAGGACACGAGGTGTTCACTGGCAGTCCCATGGGTCCCTTTCCACCACAGGACCCCTCCATGCAGGCCCTCCTTCAGCTCCCTTTGCCCCAGCAGAGCTGCTGGGCATCCCACCCGGCATGTCCCCAGCTCTGCCCGCCTTCCCGCGGGGCCCGGCTGCATCCCTGGGAGGGGGATGCTCTCTCTGCCCTTCGCTGCCTCGCCCAAGGTTATGCCCTGGTTATAAGCCTGCGAGATGGAGGCGCTGGCCCAGCAGAGCTGCCTTTGCCTGGGGCCTCTTGCAGGGACAGAGCCAGTGCTGCCGCTCTCCGCATCTGGGACACAGATCAATTTTATTGATGCCCAGCCCTGGGTCTGCGTTACACAGTCCCTAAGCCCGACTCGACGCTGCCTGCAGCAGATGTCGATCCCACCTCTGCCTTACCCCAGCCAGGCCCCCAGAGCAAAGCTCGCCCAGACCCCATCCTGCCAAGGGAGTGATGATGTCCTGGAGCAATGGCTCGGTGTCCCTAGCTCTGCTCTGGGGGCAGTTTTCCAGGCAGGGCCCCCTTCTCCCACGGGTGCCCAGCAAGCCCTGCCTCCAGCCTGGCGAGCTCTCCCATGCCCATCCAGGTGGCCAAGGAGAAGCTCCGGGCCGACATCTTTGACCGGGTGAACACATGCAACATGCTGCTGTACCAGATGAGGCAGCGGAGCCAAGCCCAGGACAAGCTGCAGAGGCGGCTGCAGCAGCTGCAGGAAGCTGAGATGGATGAGGAGCAACAGCAGGCACAGGTACCCAGGACCCCTTCCCAGGGGGGCTTTCATCCAACCCCCATCCCTATGTTCCATGGGTGGGTGCTGGGCTCAGCGTGCTGGGTCACCCCATGTCCCCCCGCTCCCATCTCTGCCCCAGGTGATTCGCCAGCTGGAGAACAACATTGAGAAGATGCTCACGAAAGTCCATGCTGGACAGAAGGTGACCGCCCTGTACCTGGCGGTGCGGGATGTCCTGAGGAAGGTGAGATGCTCAGCGTGTCATCGTCCTACCCACTCCCCCTGCAAAGGCAATGAGGTGCCCCAGGGGCTGCGCTGGTGGGACGCCCTCCCGGCTGGGCAAGGTCCTCCTGCTGCCCCCATCCCCTGTGTCAGCATGCAGGGGACCCCCAGGGCTGGGTGGGGTGACATACTGCGGGCTCCCTGTGTCCCAGGAGCTGGCCCACCTGCCTCTGCACCTAGACCTCCTGTGTGGAATGGCCGAGCTGTACTATGGGGAGCTGGAAGACATGGAGCTCATGGCCTTGGATGCCCTCAAAGCTGCTGATGTTACCAAGGTGAGATAGAACGGGGCACCTTGGGGCCCTCTCCCACACTCCAGAGCCCACAGACAGCACCATGTGCCCAGGCTGGTGAGTCTTCCTGCAATAAAGAGCAAAAGAGACAGAGCTGGGCTTGCCCACAGCACTCAGATGCCTCCCACACCTTGCTCTTGGGCCAGGCTGCCCTGGGGCTGGGGACAGCCCACCCGAAGCACCAGCCATGGTGAACGCAGCTCCATCCTCCAGCCCTTCTTGCCCAGGTTCCTTCCCAGCCTGTTTACACAGGGGGGATCATTTTTGATGCTGGCCATCCCAGAAGCTCAGCTGGCTCACAAAGGTCCATTCCGACTTTGGCAGCCACTTCTCTCTTCTCTGATATGCTCCAGGAGGACATGGCTGAGATGGAAACCCGGTTTCTCGCGGAGAGAGAGCTCAGGTACCACTCCCTGGCTACCCAGAAGGTGCACATCGACAGACTCTGGCTCAAGGAAGCAAGCGAAAGGCACCTGAGAGTGGTGAGTGGGGGGGAGGCAGCGCAGGCAGGGCTGCAGGCAGAGGGCAGGCATCGGTGCTGAGCCTTGCACAGCCCGGGAGGGCTGCAGGGCCAGCTCCCCCTGGGTGCCAGCAGCTCGGGGGGTGACGATGAACATCCTTGCAGCAAGCCAAGTATGACCTCGCCGTGGACTTCCCCACCCTGCACCCACAGGACCCGCTGGGGGGTGAGTGCCTGGGGGAGCACAGGGGGGTGGGACACAGGCACAGCACACGTGCATCCCTCCCTGCCGCTTCCCTCCCACCCCAGGCCCCAAACTGGAGCCCACCCAGTCCCAGATGGAGGTGACCCAGAAGATGGAGAAGGCCAAGGCTGCGATGCAGTGCTCCCACCTCTGGGTAACGTAAAAACACATCTCTGGTAAAACCCAGGGCTGCTCAAGCTCACCTTGTTTCATTGCGGGGTTATCTGTTGTCCTCTGCCCCTGGAGCCCCCCAAAGCCCATCTCATGCAGGCAGGGATGGAGCTGCTTTCCTCCATGACATGAGCTTGCAGCAGTCCATGGTGCAGAAACCTCACCGAGGCCACAGCCCAGATCCTGTACCCTGCAGGAGCACTACGGGCTGAGTCCTTGTGCTCTCCCCTGGCCAGGACATCCCCGGCAGGCTCCTGGCACAGCAGAAGTCCACAGTGGACCTGGAACAGTACATCAAGGAGTGCAAGGAGAAGAAGCAGGTGCTGAAGGAGATGCTGAAGGAGCTGGAGCTGAAGCAGGCTGAGCTGAAGTTTCGCCAGCCCCCCAACACAACCAGGTGCTGCTGGCCTTGGGACTGTTGTGCCAGCTGGGTCACCACCCTTGGGGGGGACATATGCATCATGGGTGTCCCAACAGGGCACCCCTTTTCTGTCCCACTGCAGCCACCCACCCCCCCTGCACCGGGTGGTTTTCTGAGCAGGGTGCTCCCCCAGCTCTGCTCCTGGCAGAGCACCCAAAGCTCCTGCTCTGGCTGCAGGAGGACCCTTGCTCCTTGCCTGGCATGAGAAGTGGTACCAGCAGCACGGAGTTGGGTTGCAGGCAGCATCTCTGCTCTGTGGTTGCGGGGAAGGGAGCAACCTGAGCAGCTTTTGTAACAGATTTGGGGTGTCCTGCACCCCTGTGCAGCTGTATGGATGTGAATGTGGTTGGCTCCAGGATGCTGGAGGAGGAGCTGAGGATGAACCTGCAGTGGGAAGAGGCTCGGCTGGAGCAGATGCGAACCGATATGCTGAGGAACCAGGAGCTCCTGCTCAAGTTTGAAAATGGCATCGACAACCTCTTTGTCCATCTGCACGGCATCACTGTGCCCAGCAAGGTACCTGTGTGGTGCAGGGGCGAGCATGGCCTTGGACAGTGCTTGGTGGTGCAACGGCACAGCACGGTGACACTTGGTGCAGCCACCATCACCCCAGGTGGCTCATTTTCCCCACCAAGGTTGTTCTCTCTCTGACTGCAGGATGATTCTGTCAAGGCCAGGGGAGTTGAGGAGAAGCTCCAGAACTGTGAGCAGAAGCTGCAGTACCTGATGCAGCAGGCGGCTGACCTGTCCCCTGACAGGCACAGCCCCGACGAGGACAATGAGGTGCATGGGGGCTCCGTCCCTGCTTTGGTCTTTGGGGAGCCCCACGGGGCTCTCCCGGATGGCCCATCCCCAGCCATCCTCCTGGCTGGGAGGATGGAGGTGGCCCCAGGGAAGAGCCATGAAGCAGCTCAGCCCCAGGTGACACTGGGCCCTGCAGGGTGTCCCTGCCAGGGAGCCGTCAAGGTGGGGCACCCCTTGGGTTGTAACACCCACCTCCCCTTCAGCAGTTAACCCAAGGTGTCTTTCACAGACTTTTGTGAAGGTCAGAAATTTTCTGGAGAAAACAACCACGAATGATCCTCAGAACCTGAAGATTTCTTTGGAAGACATGGGCAGTAGGGTCCAAGGTAGGAGAGCACAGTGGGTACACATCCCATGGTGACTGTCCCAGCCCCTGCCCACTGGGATTTCTGAGCATCCTTGTCTGTCTCCCACTGTCCCAGCAGACCCCAACCCATGAGTTGCCTTGGGGCTGACCTTGGCTGTCCCCAAGGCTTTGAGCACGGATGATGGTTTTAGGTGGGGATGTGGGAGAATGAAGGCAGCCGGTGGGGTGGTGAGTGTCAAACCATAGCAGGAACAAGGAGAGATGCTGCAGGGCAAGGAGGGAGACCCAGTTGTGAGGAATAACCACTGTTTGGCTCTGCCTGTGGCCTCCTCCTATTGCATGCATGCTCTTGGAGGAGGCAATGAGCTTTTGGCATCTTACCGCCCTTTTTAACAGAGCGGGAGCTGCACCCACCACCCCGTAGCTCCAGACCTTTATGGGAAGCCCCAACAGTGTTGGAGATGGGCCACAGTGGTGGCATCACCAGGTCCTGGAGGTCACCTTGGGATGCTGGGGCAGAAACGCCAGTTGGCAGTGCCTGCACCCGAGGGCTCGGCACAAGGGCTCTCTGGGATGCCATCAGCCCTCCAAACCATGCCGGCTCTCCCCCGGGACATGGCCACAGCAGAGGTGGCCCTGCAGACCCTCCCCAGCCCACTCCTCTCCACTCTCTCCTCCAGACCCCTTTGATTTTGCTGACAAAGACCATGGCAACGTCCTCACCCGGGAAGACATCAAGAAGCAGGGGCTGCACCTGATTGAAAGCAAGAAGAAAAGCGGCAAGAAGAAGTAGAGGCTGTAGGAGTAGAGTTTTGGATGCGCTCGGCCGCCCGTTGTGGTTCGGATGCCCCAGGCCACCCATTGTACCCTTTTCCCATCAGGTTTAATAGAGCAGATCTTTTTCATTCCTCCCAAGCCCATGGTAAAGCTGGAATGGGGGGGTCCTAGATCACTGCTGTCACCCAGAATGCAGGGGGTCAAACCCTGAGGGGTGCTGAGCTGGGTTTGGAAGCAGCCCCATCCCCTGCTCTCCCCACAGAGGTGGGGATGGGCTGGGGTGGGGACAGCTTTCCCAGCCAGAGCAAAGCTGGAGGCAGGCTGCATTCCTCCCCCTTGGTCCTGTGGGGCCAACACCTTCCTGGGAGCTCTGTCCCCCCAGACAGCTCTGGGACCCCAATGAGCTGGCATCTGTCTAAGGCAGCTATGGGGAAATGTGGGGCAGGGGCTGACCTCAGGGTGGGCGTCCTCATGCTCTTGTGTGGGAGGAGAAGGGCAGACCCTACCTTGGAAAGAGAGAGCCAAAGGTGTGACGAAGCCCCTAGCCTGGGCTGCCTGACCTGCCTGTGGACCTTCGTGCCTCCTCCCTCCCCTGGTCCCCACACAGACGTCGTGCAACTCCTACACAGAACCCTAAACTCAGAGCAGCCATCAGGCACCGCCTTCGGGCTGCAGGGAGGTGCCTGATGGCTGCTCTGAGTTTAGGGTTTTGGCTCCAGGATGGGATCCCCAGCCCTGCCAGTGGGTCACAGCTACCCAGCCGTGGAGGCCATGTTGTCTTCTCTACAAAGCCACTCGGAAACCAAAGCTGCAAATAGATGGTGCTATTTCTCCAAGTACAGCCAACGCTGAGGGCTTCTGCCAGGGACCTGTGGTCCCAGCCAGGAGAGTGGCACCTCATCCACTTCTGCAGGGGGACATCAGCATCAGACCAAGCTTCCACTGTCCTTGGTCCCTCTACTTCATGCTGACATCACTTGTGAGATCATCACTGCAGGGGGGAAGGAATGGCTGTTTCTGCCAGGCCTCTCAGCAGACTGGCAGGTCACACCAAGTATTCTTGGTGGGGTTTGTGTGACTACAGGTATGGGGATTATATTGCCAAAACAGGTGGCTTTTAAAGGAAGCTCAGAAGTAGCTGTGAACACATCTAACAGAGCTTCCCAGAAATGATTGCTGGGGCAGGCTCTTCCACAATTAAAGACCACATCATAATTACACCCATCCACCTCCTGTCCCATTCTCACATGGCCACCACAGCTTGGGTGCATGTGCTGGGGTCTGGGTCAAGGAGCCCTGTGCTGTGAGGAGCTACCCTGCCATGGCAGCAGAAATCTGAAAATACTCTGCAAACCCAGGGCCAAGTATGGCTGGATGGTGCTGGGCCACCCTGAAACTGTCCACGCTCAACACACCCAGGGTTTGAAGAAACTCAGACAGGCCACGTTGGGTAGGCTGTGCTCAAATACGTGTCATTAAGCAGCAGAATCCCTGCACCCCACCACTCTCCTGCTGCTATCTCACTGTCGGTGCCGAGGGCCACCAGGCTGATGCTGAGCTTGGGGCACCCCAGGCTCCTGGTTCTCCCCTGGCACCTGGGGCAAGACAGTTGCAGGGATGGCCGTATTGACCAGAAATCATGGAAGATCTGCCTGTCCACAGACTTTTGTGTGAGCCACCCATCCCTTCTCTCTTTCAAGGCTGTCTACAGCTGCTGCCAAAACAGTTTTAACTACGGCAAGGCTGTGGGAGCCAGCGGGAGCGCTGGTGTTTGCCTGTGCAAGGTCTGGTGCGGCAGAGCTATGGAGCATTGATCTTTGTCTCAATTGGCTTAGAAGCAGCAGCTCCAGCACATGTCTATTAGCACCACTGGACAAATATGAATGATTTATCAAAAACAAAGAGAGACTCCAGCGTTGCACACCTAGCTGAAGGCCGAGGAGAAGAGAAGGAGCAAATAACAAGTGGTTTGTGGCTGGTAGAAATGAGGGATGACTTTTTTAGAGCATGGTAGTGGTGCTTTGTCCCTTGTTCCTATGCCCTGCCATACAGAGGAGCAAGAAGAGAGATCCTGGAAAGTTTTGGGGAAGATCTCCATATGCTGGGGCGTTTCCTCTCCTTCCTCTTCAGCCTCTAAAAGGTACTTGGTGAAAAGCAGAGCCGACATCCCCCAGCTAGACCGGGGGTTCCCATCATTTGGGATAAACCCTGGGAAATATTTCAAGCTCTTAGTCTGGTCTTTGCACTCTGGCTGTGGGGAACAGAAGCCACAAAACATGTTGAAGGTTTCTCCCTGCAAGAGCTGGATGGAGAGCCTGGTCTGGGGACTATCTGCCAGCTGCAAGGTAATTCTGAGATGGTTTAGCTGCCTTTAAGGGAGGGGAAGAGCAAGGGTGCACAATAACACAGGGGTTTCAGGTCTACTTGAAATCATTGAGGCATGAGTGGAGGATGCGAAGGCTACCTGCTTCATCACAAGCACCCACCGAATGCATTCAGACAGAGCATCCCAAGCTCTCGTCACATCTGCGGGGCGAGGGGAAGGCACGGCCGGGCAGACAGCGTGGGGTGCAATCGGACTGACTGCCGCTGCCTTACCCGCACCCGGAGAGGCGGCAGGGGAAATGGATGTGACAAGTGGAAAAGAGGTAGGAGAGAGAGTGGGAAGGAGCCAGAGGCAGTGCCTTGGTTTCTAGATTTAAAAATAAAATAAAAAACACCACCATGGGTGCCCCAGGAAGGCAGCGGCTGGGGTACGAGCCGACACCCGGCATACTCC